TTGTTGTTGACTCACCTGATGATTCACCTGTTGACTCACCTGTTGACTCACTTGTTGTTGACTCACCTGATGATTCACCTGTTGACTCACCTGATGACTCACCTGTTGTTGACTCACCTGATGACTCACCTGATGACTCACCTGATGATTCACCTGATGACTCACCTGCTGTTGACTCACCTGATGATTCACCTGTTGTTGACTCATCTGTTGACTCACCTGTTGTTGACTCACCTGATGACTCACCTGTTGTTGATTCACTTGATGACTCATCTGTTGTTGACTCACCTGATGACTCACCTGTTGTTGACTCACCTGATGACTCACCTGTTGTTGACTCACCTGATGACTCACCTGTTGTTGACTCACCTGTTGTTGACTCACCTGTTGACTCACCTGATGATTCACCTGTTGTTGACTCACCTGTTGTTCACTCATCTGTTGACTCACCTGATGACTCACCTGTTGTTGACTCACCTGATGACTCACCTGTTGTTGACTCATCTGTTGACTCACCTGATGACTCACCTGATGACTCACCTGTTGTTGACTCACCTGATGACTCACCTGTTGTTGACTCACCTGATGACTCACCTGTTGTTGACTCACCTGTTGACTCACATGTTGTTGACTCACCTGTTGACTCACCTGTTGTTGACTCACCTGATAACTCACCTGTTGACTCACCTGTTGTTGACTCACCTGTTGACTCACCTGTTGTTGACTCACCTGATGACTCACCTGTTGTTGACTCACCTGATGACTCACATGTTGTTGACTCACCTGATAACTCACCTGTTGACTCACCTGATGACTCACCTGTTGTTGACTCACCTGATGACTCACCTGTTGTTGACTCACCTGATGACTCACCTGCTGTTGACTCACCTGATGACTTTCCTGTTGTTGACTCACCTGATGATTCACCTGTTGACTCACCTGTTGACTCACCTGTTGTTGACTCACCTGTTGACTCACCTGATAACTCACCTGTTGACTCACCTGATACGCTTGGCTCCAGATCTTTCACGACGTGGCGTACAAGGCCAAGGACCGGACGGACCTGCTGTCTGGGATCGATGAGTTCCTGGATCAGGTCACAGTCCTGCCTCCAGGTGAATGGGACCCCAGCATCCGGATCGAACCACCGAAGAACGTCCCATCTCAGGTGAGCGCTGTGGGACTACAGGTGGTACACCTGTCCTCTGTGAACCGTCTTTCTAACGCCGTTTCTCTGCAGGAGAAGAGAAAGATACCAACACTGGCTAACGGCTCCGCCTACAGTGCTGACGCCGTGAAGGAGGCGGAGCATCACACGGGCCCGGAGCTGCAGAGGACGGGCAGGTGTGTCTCCCTCCTCAGGTAGTTGTTGTTTCTGACTTTGTAGAAATGACGGTGAAACTGTCCGACAGGATCTTTGGAGGTCTGGTGAACGACGTTCGGAGGAAAAGACCGTTTTATTGGAGCGACATCAAAGACGCCCTGAGTCTGCAGTGTGTGGCGTCCATCCTCTTCCTGTACTGCGCCTGCATGTCACCTGTCATCACCTTCGGAGGGCTGCTGGGAGAGGCCACCAAAGGAAACATAGTAAGACCCTAAAGCAGGACTCTGTCTCTGAGTGTCCCTGACCTGGACCCTGCTGTGGTCCTGGATCCTGCTGCATCTGGTCAGGGTTTGACTGTCCCTCTGTTTCTGGCAGAGCGCCATCGAGTCTCTGTTCGGGGCGTCCATGACGGGCGTGGCCTACTCTCTGTTCGCGGGGCAGCCTCTCACCATCCTGGGCAGCACCGGCCCGGTTCTGGTGTTCGAGAAGATCCTCTTCAAGTTCTGTTGGTGAGTCCAGACCTGAGCAGAGACACATCCTCCTGAATCCAGGATGATCTGGGTCCAAAGTTCACCACCGAGACCCCATTCAGACCAGAACACTTACTGAGCTCCAGAACCACATTATAGTTTGTGAGACTGGACCGGTGTCCCTCAGAGTCACTCAGAGACTCTCGGAGACACTCAGAGTCACTCAGAGACACTCAGAGACTCTCAGAGGCACTCAAAGACACTCAAAGACTCTCAGAGACTCTCAGAGGCACTCAGAGGCACTCAGAGACTCTCAGAGACGCCCAGAGACACTCAGAGACACTCAGAGACACTCAGAGACTCTCAGAGACTCTCAGAGGCACTCAGAGGCACTCAGAGACTCTCAGAGACACTCAGAGACACTCAGAGACACTCAGAGACACTCAAAGACTCTCAGAGACAGAGACGCTCAGAGACTCTCAGAGACTCTCAAAGACATTCAGAGACGCGCAGAGACTCTCAGAGACACTCAGAGACTCTCAGAGACGCTCAGAGACTCTCAGAGACAGAGACGCTCAGAGACTCTCAGAGACTCTCAAAGACATTCAGAGACGCGCAGAGACACTCAGAGACACTCAGAGACTCTCAGAGACTCTCAGAGACAGAGACACTCAGAGACACTCAGAGACACTCAGAGACTCTCAGAGACAGAGACGCTCAGAGACTCTCAGAGACTCTCAAAGACATTCAGAGACGCGCAGAGACTCTCAGAGACACTCAGAGACTCTCAGAGACGCTCAGAGACTCTCAGAGACTCTCAAAGACATTCAGAGACACTCAGAGACTCTCAGAGACTCTCAGAGACAGAGACACTCAGAGACACTCAGAGACACTCAGAGACACTCAGAGACTCCCAGAGACTCTCAGAGACTCTCAGAGACACTCAGAGACGCTCAGAGACTCTCAGAGACTAGAGACTC